GCCGTCCGGAGCCGGTTCCACGCCCAGCGTCTTGCGGTGGATCAAGCCGTTGTAACGGAACGAGTTGCGGGATTTCAGGTTGTTGGGTTCCTGGGCGGAGGAATGGGGAGTTATGGGGGTCCTGGGGGGGGGGGAAATGGGGGATCTGGGTGGGCCTGCGAGGTCCTGGAAGGGGAACAGAAAGGATCCACGGGGCTCCGCGCTCACCGTGCTGTAGGTCTGGTGGTTGCGTTTGATGAGGAAACTCGAGCAGTTCCGCACCACCATCCACTGCAGGTGGGCCGACATGGCGCTGCGGAGGGCGGCAGCAGCTTCTACTGTGGGTCCCGGCTTCGCTGCGGCCTACGGGGCCTACCGCAATCGGAACGGAGCTACGAGACCTACGGGGCAAAACGCGACCTGAGCGCCAACGCGGGGTCCGTGCGGTAACGTGGGGCGGCCCGGAGCCGCCTCCCCCCGCCCGCCGCTCCCCCCGGCTCGGTTACGGCCCCGCTCCACCCGCAGCTCCACGCGGTACCTCCGCTCTCCTCCACCGCCGGAAGCGGAAAGAGTTTTGAGTGGGCGGTTCCGGCCAACACACCCTCGGTTCGGCGACTTCCGGTCTCTGTTCGGGAATCTCCGCCCGGCGTTCGGAAATCTCTCGTCTCGTTTCGGCGATCCCCGCCCTCACTTCGCCAATCCTCGCCCGCCGTTCGGAAATCTTCGTCTCCCTTCGTCAATCCCCGTTCTCCGATCACAAAGGGGCGCGCTATGGGGTTCTGGGGTGAATCTGTGGGGCACTGCGGGGTTTTCGGGAACTCTATGGGACACTATGGGGTAGTGAGTCTATATGGGTCCCTGTAGGGTCTCTATGGGGAGCGGTGGGTCTCTCTAGGGTCTCTGTGGGGTCTCTATGGGTCACTGTTGGGTCTCTATGGGGCATTGCTATTCCCTGTATGGCCACTATGGGGCGCTCTTGGTCTCTGTAGGGCGCTGCTGTTCTCTGCATGGCCACTATGGGGTGCTCTGGGTCCCTGTGGGTCTTTGTAGGCTCTCCATGGGGCACTGTTGTTTCCAGTGCGGCCACTGTGGGGCGCTGTAGGGTCTCTGTGGGGCTTCTATGGGTCCCTGTGGGGCATTATGGGGGCTCTACAGGGCTCTGTGGGGGCTCTATGGGGTGCTGTGGGTGCTTATACAGAATCTATGGGTCTCTATGAGGCACTGTGGGCCTCTATTGGAACCTGTAGGGTCACTATGGGGCACTGTGGGTCTCTGTGGGGCACTGGTGTTCCCTGTAGGGTCTCTGTAGGGCGCTGTAGGGTCTCTGTGGGTCCCCATAGGCTCTCCATGGGCCGCTGCTGTTCCCCGTATGGCCACTATGGGGCGCTGTGGGTCCCCACGGCGCTGTGCTGTTCCCCGGAGGGTCGCTATGGGGCGCTGCGGTCCCTCCATGTCCCCCCCCCCCCCCCCCCCCCCCCCCCCCCCCGCCCCCCATCTCCCAGCTATGGGGCGCTGCGGGGCGCTTCGGCTGTGGCTGCTTTGGGGCGCGCTGTGGGGCGCGGGTTTGGGGGCCGCCTTCGAGTTGGGGGAAGCGCTGCGGGGGCTGCGGGGGGAAAACGCGCGGCTGGAAGGGACGCTGCGGAACCTCAGCAGGGCGCTGGGGCAGCTGCGGGCGCGGCTCCGGGAGCCCTCGGGTGCGTCCGTACCACCCTATGGCGCCCTATGGCGCCCTATGGCGCCCTATGGACCCTATGGAACCCTATGGAGCCCTATGGAACCCTATGGAACCCACCCTATAGACCCTATAGAGCCCTATGGCACCCTATGGACCCTATGGAACCCTATAGAGCCCTATGGCACCTTTTAGACCCTATAGAGCCCTATGGAACCCTATGGAACCCTATAGACCCT